GACAACTAAACTTGCTCAGGCGAGGGGAAGGAAAGGAGTTAATATGGGACTTAAGGCAGGAGTCAGGCCTTTCCTCATTCACCTGAGCCTGTCCCTCTCCTGTGTTAAAGTGCAACTCAAGCGAGCTGAGTGAGGGAATGTAACAGGATCATTAGGAAACATCAAGGGGCTTCCACGGCGGTCCGTCTGCCTGCCAACGTCGGAAACATGGGTGTGATCCCTGGTCTGGGAAGATGCCACATGCCACGGGACAGCTAAGCTCATGTGCCACAGCTGCTGAGACTGCGCACCCTAGAGCCTGCGCTCTGCAAAAGAGGAGCTGCTGCAATGATGCGTGCGCGCATTCGTAAGAGTAGAACACGCTCGCCACAACTACAGAAAGCCTGCGTGCAATGAAGACCCGGCACAGTCACACTCACACACACACACAAATATATATATATATCCAGACCTAAGCTTAGGCAGACAAACCTTCCTGAATCATAAGCCACCCAGGGTTACAGTGAAGAAGGCAGTGATAGGAACACATAGCTTCCTCATGCCAGGCCCACTGTGCTGGGCTGTAGTTACACAAATAATGACAACCTACTGAAGACAAGCATTCTTTCCCATTCCTCAAACACACAAGGTCCCCCAGAAAGGAAGCTCGGCAGCCTGCGCTGTATTACCCAATTTCCACACGTGGCCCTGCCCCTTGGCAGTGGTTCAGGAGGTAGGTATCGCCCATGTTTGAGCTGGAGAGACAGGCCAGTCCATGGTGCCAAGAAAAAGTCAGTTTAAAAATAGATGGCTATGTTGTTATCAACACAGAGGATCCAAGCAACCAGAAGAAAAATCCAGGCATTTACCCTAGGAGTCTTTCTCATTTTTTTCTTCCAAATTTCCAACTTTGAGAAGTTGGTGCCTGAAGAAACCAAAAGCACATCTGATGGTTTGGATTTTCAAAGTCAGATCTTCATACAGGCCATGTCCCCACTACCACATAAAAATGAGTTGATGAGCACAAATGAATGTGTTTGAAGACTTTGCCATTTTACGGTTTATTAAATGCCGTATTGGAAGAGGAGATGGTTTATAGACTGGAAAGGGCTCTTCAATTAAGAAGCTAAAGAACTGACGATGAGCCCAACTGTTCTTCCATTTCTGGTGAATAGTGAAGATTAAAAAAAATTAGGTCATATTAGAGCAGCGGTTCTTACAGTGTAGTCCTTGGGCCAGCAGTATCCATATCATCTGGGCATTTGTTAGAAAAATAAATAATCAGGTCTTGAAGCAGGAGGTGGATGCCTCCCACCCCCACCAAGTGAGCAATTGGAGTCCATTCCCTGCAGACACCAACTCCAAAATATCAACAGCAGGACAATCAAGGCAGGGGAGGGCAGACAGGTTTCAATCCCTGGGTCAGGAATATCCCTTGGAGAAGGAAATGGCAACCCACTCCAGTATTCTTGCCTGGGAAATTCCGTGGACAGAGGAGACTAGTGGCCTGGAGGACTACAGTCCATGGGGTCAAAAAGCGTTGGACACAACTGAACAACTAAACAACAACAACAGGACAACAACAATCAAGAGATGAGGCTGGGCCCTGCCCAGATAAGAGACCTCATATTTCTCATTCTCAAAGTCAAGGAGACCTTCCCAACTAGAAAGTTCCTTGGAGGTCAAAAAGAGCAGTATGCTAAGCTACCAATAGGCCTCTTGGCTGGAATCCATCTCGGCTGAAAGAGGCATGCACGCGCACGCGCACACACATACACACACACAAGAGGACCCTGAGACAAACCAAATAAGGACTCAGAATCAGGCAAATCAAAATGACTGACCAAAGGAAACCTGGAAGAAATGTCCCATGTAAGTGATTTTAAACACCACAAGGGAGTGACTCTCTCCATGGGTCTGCCTGCATCTATCCACATGGACTATACTCCTTCCTCCTAAAGAACATGTTACTTGTTTCACTACTTTCTGTCTTTGTGGGAATTCTTTTCTGCAAAGCCAAAGGACAAGGGCCTTGTCACTGGCCACTGGCCTAGTGGCTAGGATTCAGTATTCTCACTGCCATGGACCAACCTCACCCTCTGGCTGAGAACCAAAACCTGCTTCAAGCTGCTGCAGGCTGGGGCGACCCGAGATCAGCCCCATCCTCCAAACCTAATGATCAGAACCCTGTTTTCACAGCTCCTCCAGGTCACTGGGATATACACTCATGTCTGAGACCTTTTGCACTAAGGCTGTGGTCGTCCACCCTGGCTGCCCATTAGCATCACCCCATGAGCATGTTATTGCGATGCTCTGGCCAATGCCAGTCAATCAAAGCACAACAACTAGGAGTGGCACCTAGGCACAACTACTTTTAAAGCTTCTCCCGTCATGTAACGGTAGCCAGAGTTGAGAGCTTCCATGTCCTGGAATAAGAGAGATTTACATTAGGTACTTTTGGACTTCTGACTTTTGGTTTAACTCTAATAATGGTTGCTGAATGGATCTTCTTAGTGGAAGAAAACGTTTTTGAGAAGAGGAAGGAGAGATTCCTATCCTCATGAGCCGGAGAAGTTAGATGTGAAGCTCACACACTATGCCAACATTGTACCTAACCCAATGGTAGCAATACTATTTGCCCTCTCACCAGCAAACACAGCTGCTCATCCTGGGAAAGAGGTGGGTGAGTCCCGTGTTCAGAAGCCATTACCAAACCAACATACTCAGAGGCCCTGGCGAGTGACACTACATCTCCCACACACCTCAAGTCCAGCTGCCACAAGCCCCCAAGGGGGCCCGGGGCCTCCCACTCACTCTCTGCCTCTGAGGTCCCAAGCACTTGGGGTGTGTGAGGGAGCAGCCTCTTCTCACCAGTGCCTGGTGTTAACCACTGTACAAACTGAGGACAACCTGTCAGGATAGGATTCTAGGGGCCCACTTCCCTGGGACAGGCAGGGCCTAGCACTGCTGCTTAGCAACTGGTTTGTGAACTGGGGCCATCCCTTTACCAAATCAGGAAATTGACAGAACACATGATAAGTGTATGCTCAAACCGGGGTACACTAGCATAAGCCCAAGTAGCTAGAATTTTTCCCTATGAAAAGGGACCTGAGCACTACTATATGAGAAACATTGGAAACTTTTTCAACAGGAAGAAGCCATATTCTTTGGGAAATTTCTGGAGATATAGTGGGCCAATGGTTATATTTTTTTTACATTGTGAGAGTAAGAGCAAACATTCCCTAAATTTTTTTTTAAAGATCAAATAGCAAAGACTGGAATCAGTTCAACAGCTGGCTAGAGAACATGCTGATGAAAACAACACCATCATGATAACGTTCTCACAGAGTGAATTGTAGGTACCCAAGCTTTGGGGCATTATACTCACTCTCCCCACAAAAAAGACAGGATAGAAAAATACACGAGGGAAAAGACCACACTTTTCTATACTTAGTGTCTATAATTATGCAGACTTTGGAGTCTGACAACCTGGGTTTGAATTTTCAGCCTTCTATTTATTTGCTGTGTGGCCTTGAACTTTTAAGTCTGTGAATTTCAGGTTTTCATTTGTAAAATGAGAGTGATAATCTTTAGCAGTGATCAATGTGTGAAAAAAGAAGGCTTGGACTGCATTTAGCAAGTGTTTACTGAACAGGAAATAAAGTAGCAATGGTGATCATTATTTAATTATTCACTTTTGAATAGTGAAATTGAAGCTTTCCTTCTCTTGAGAAGGTTTCCTTGACAAAAATGTTTACACACACGCACACATCTGTGTAGTTCCAGTTCCTAGGATGTACCTAGATTTTAGTCTTTGTATATGTTGTCACTTTTTCTTTATATATTTATAAGTATTTTCTTAGGAAAAAAGACATGTCTTTGTGTGCCAAATGCATGGCACATACCTAGTACGTCATATGTACAAATGAATGAATGAATGAAGCTAGCTACATATCTCATTTACCTAGAAATGAGACAAGAGAAAACAACCAGGATGGTAAAAGTGGAAAAGACAAGACAGAAGAGAGACATACTAGGAAATTGATAATAATGGTTGACTATTGGATACGAGCAGGAAAAAATATTGTTTTGCAGTTTTCTAATATAGTCAATCATCTAGAAAGCCCTTCTCAGTGAATTTGAAGGGAGGAGAGGATGGTCACACAAATACTTAGGGAAGATTTACTGGTTGTTTGGGTCTACCTAGTGGTCTGAAAGCAGCCCTTCTAGGGACAGATACTCCTGGACATTATTCAAGGATGAAGTAAGGTTTGCAAACAAATTTGAGTCAAACCAAGAATGTTTATCTCCATCTTCAAGTCTCAAGAATTCTAGTCCCGCGTTTAATCACTGCTTCCCAGTCTTTACTGTTACCACCACTCCATCTTCCTCGTTGTCTTCTGCGGACTCTGCCCTTTGGAAGCCCTCTACTTACTCCCACCAAGGCTTTCCTTTTGGGCTCAAGCTTGCCTAGTCTCTGAATGATGTCAACCAGTATACACTGGCTTCACTGCCACGGCCATCTCCCTAGCACCATCTTACTCCTCAGCCTACCTCTAGAGTCTAGGCCTAAGCAGTCTGTTCATCCAGAAAGAGTCTTAACCATCTCACCACTGTGGGAGGTAAATGAAGAGGGAAAACCAAAGAAAATCAGCCCAGAAAGCAGGTAAGTGAGTTTTCTCACTTGTAGGCATAGAAAAATTTCCTCATTTCCATCCCTACAAGTCAGGGTTTTAATAAATGAACAATTCATCTAAAAAGTCTGCAATATGTCCATACCCACACCCTAAGAAAGCCTATCCAAAAAGAAATATGGTGACAAAATGCTACACGCTTAGCTCTAGTCCCCAAGCCGTCTTTAACAGATGGGAAGTTAGTCACTGGAAAAATAAGCCCGCTGAGCAAGCCACTGACTTTTATCTTTAGACTTCAACTGCTATTCATCAGCATCAATATTTTAGAACTTAATCAACTGAGCACTAGTCTGAGTTCAAGACGTCTACATCATCATGAAGACTCACCGCGTCCTGACAGCTGAGGACCTCCAAAATGCTGTTGAGTAATTCGACACAGTACTTCTTCTCCTGGACCTGGTGTTGCATATCATCCTTCTGCTCCAGTAGCTCCTTCAGTTCCTTGGTGATGACAGGAAGCAGAATGTCCCGGCATTCTGGAACGAAGGCAGTTCAGAGGCATGTGAGTGCCCTTGTTTGTTTTAATTGCTTTTCTTTCATTTCTAGATAATGTTTCATTACATAAACAATTCATGAATACATCCTTCCTGTAAAAATGTAAATGCTAGAAATTAGGTTACTATTTTCTTAGAAAATTATTCACAATTCTGGCCTTCTCCCAACTCCCACTCTCAAGAGACAACCAACCAGTTATTGTATTCTATACACATGTATGTGTATATACATATAAAAATGTATGTGTGTATATGTGAGTGTATACTGGTATAAAATATGTAGCATCTTTTTGATTTGGCTTTTTATTTAAGTAAAACATATCACACTATGATGATAATCCTTCAAGGTCATTTTTTTATGTTTTATCAGTATAAAAAGCATAGCATCATTTTTGTTTTATTTCCTTTTTATAAAAGAGGACTATACTGTATGTATTGTTCTGTAATTTGATATTGTTTTAGTCACCAACAGTTTTTGGAGCTCTTTCTATATTATTATATATAGGGATCAACATTAAGTTTTTGCAGCTGTTTTACAGTATGGATATATTTGTTTAGTATGGATATATTTGTTCATTTGTCATACCCTTATGGATAGACATTTTTCACTAGCATAAATAGTAAAAACAACAACAACAACAACAACAACTACCTCCCACTTCCTTATGCACCATGGATTTCATTTTAAATAAATTAAAACCTTTGCAAAGAAGGGTAACTCTCTTGGCACTGCTGTCTCAGGAAATATCTGGAAGGTTCTGAAATCCTACACAGCTTTCTTTCTATATTTCTCTTAAAACCAGCAAACCTTGAGGGAACTGAAAAATTCAAAAAATTTCAAGTCATCCCCACCTAGATGCTTCTAGCACTGAAATGTGAATCACAAGCACCGGTTTTATTTTAATTCAATATAGCAAATAAAGAGTTGAACATCTCTGATGTGGAAGGCACTGTATTTCTGGATGTACAGGGATAATATATGGTTCTCACCCATTAGATACTTAAAACCTGACATAAGGAGTCAGCAACAATACAAAGAGCAAAGGCAGAAGGCAGAATAAGGTAAAGGCAGGAGGAAGAAGACACCATCTCTTGTTCTGTCGGCCCCAGATCCACACCTTCTTCTGGCATAGCATCCTAGTCTCACCCTGGGAGCCAATCTGCAATGGAATATGATCTGAGAGACATTGTCACAAGGCTCCCTGCCTTCCTCTGGAAAAGGGTCACGCTCAGTTCAGTTCAGTTCAGTTGCTCAGTCATGTCTGACTCTTTGTGACCCCATGGTCTACAGCACATCAGGCCTCCCTGTCCATCACCAACTCTTAGAGTACACTCAAAGTCATGTCCATCGAGTTGGTGATGACACCCAACCATCTCATCCTCTGTTATTCCCTTCTCTTCCCACCTTCAATCTTTCCTAGTATCAGGGTCTTTTCCAATGAGTCAGTTCTTTGCACCAGGTGGCCAAAGAATTGCAGTTTCAGCTTTAACATCAGTCCTTCCAATGAATATTCAGGACTGATTTCCTTTAGGATTGACTGATTGGATCTCCTTGCAGTTCAAGGGACTCTCAAGAGTCTTCCCCAACACCACAGTTCAAAAGCATCAATTCTTTGGTGCTCGGCTTTCTTTATAGTCCAACTCTTACATCCATCCATGACCACTGGAAAAACCATAGCCTTGACTAGATGGACCTTTGTCGACAAAGTAATGTCTCTGCTTTTTAATATGCTGTCTAGGTTGGTTATAGCTTTTCTTTCAAGGAGCAAGGGACCCTATTTAGGATATCCCCTTGATTTGAACATCGAGGAAATTTTAAAAACAGTAACTGCTGACACTGCTAACATACAGAGTGCCTACAATGTGCCAGGTGTATTTTAAGAGTCTTGCACAAACTACCTCCATTAATGTTCCCAAAGCCTACAGGAGGCAGATAGACACTGTCATTTCTCCCCGTGTGCTGATGAGGAAACAGAGGGATGTGCCCCTGCCTGCACGGAGAGTAGGTGGTGCCTGCCGCCTGGCCGCAGAGCCTGCGCTCTCAGCCCCAGGACAGAGGCCGGTACCCCTCCGGGGCTCACCTGCCTGCAGGGAGGCGCCCCAGGAGGCTGCCCCCGCCAGCCGCTGCCTCCTCTCCCAGGGCCACTCTGAAGCCTGGCTCCCCAGCGTTTCCTCTTATTCTTGGACTACTCCTTATTATCTAAATGCACCAATTTTTACCTAAATTTACTAGAATAGGTTTATGTTGCTCACAGCCAAAGATTTCAACTGGCAGAGTTATCAAATGCCAGGAGGGCTTCAGAAGAGAGAAATAATCTATGGCTAGAAGGTGCATAGAAGCTTCATAGGCTCTGACAGAATCACATCGCCTCTCTCAGAGCACCAGACTCAGTTTGTAATTAAGTTCTAACCAGTGTAATTATCCATTCATCCATTCATCCAACCAAAGTGTAAGCTTCGTGACAGCCAAATTAAATCTCCAGTGTCCAACACAGTATCTGGATCATAGTAGCTATTCAGTAAATCTTGGTGGAATGAATGAAAGAGGTGTCTTTTGAGATGGTCACTGATGAGTAAATAATATTGCCTTTGGTAGAGTGGAGATTTAGAGAACAGAGAGTGATTTAGACTACATGGACCAAGATATGGTACTACATACAATGGAATATTACTCAAACATATAAAAGAAGAAAACAGTGCCATTTGTAGCAACATGGATGCAACTAGAGATTGTCATACTAACTGAAGTAAGTCAGACAGAGAAAGGCAAATACCACATGACATCATTTACAAGTGGAATCTAAAATATGGCACAAATGAACACATCCACAAAACACAGACGTAGAGGACAGACTTGTGGTTCTGTCACAGATGTGTTGAATAGACTATTATATGTAGGACAGACAAACAGCAAAGTTCTACTACAAAGCACAAGGAGCTATACTTGTGATGACCCACAATAGAAAGGAATATTAAGGAGAATGTGTATATAACTGAGTCACTGTGCTGTGCAGCAGAGGCTGGCACGACATTGTGAATCAGCTACACTTCAGTAAAAACTGTAAAATAAATAATAGAGTCCACGGACCTGGGTAAGTAGAATAGTCTCTTGGAAGTGGAATAATAGGAGATAATACTGAAAAGGAGAATTCTTAAATTCAATGGTAGGCATAGAGTTATAGTGTGTGTTAGTCACTCAGTTGTGTCCGACTTTAGCGATCCCATAGACTATCGCCCGCCAGGCTCCTCTGTCCATGGGATTTCCCAGGCAAGAATACTGGAGTGGGTAGCCATTCCCTGCTCCAGGGGATCTTCCCGACCCAGGGATGAAGCCCAGTACTCCTGCATTACAGGCCAATTCTTTACCATCTGAGCCACCAGGGAAGCCCTAGAATAATAGAAGATAATATTGAAAAAGAAAATTCTTAAATTCAGTGGTAGGCATAAGGTTATAGTTCTATTGAAAAAGAAAATTATAGGCAACAAAATTTTGATTCAGCTTTGTTCAGTACTATAGATGTAATCAAAGGTTACAAGTTAATGGTACTTTATTTGGACTTAAGAAATGGTTGACCTAAGGACTTTTGAGAATACAAGATGTTGAGTTAGCCATTATCCTTTGTTTAGAGAGATAAGAAAAAAGACTGCATAACATCTACATACTAATTACCATAAAATTTAAGTTAAATCTTTGCTTATTCCATATCTTGTCACCATAAAGTTGAAATTTTGTCCAAGTCTCTTTATTAAAATGGCTAAAGAAATTTCCTGCAACATTTATTTAACAATTTGTTTTAAAAGTTACCTTCTAAAAGATGTTAACTTGTAACTTTGAAACTTTTGTTTGTTGCAGGAAATTGTACTTGTAAGAATGCTTGATATATTGGGACTTTGCGGGTGGTCCAGTAGTTAAGAATCTGCACTACCAAAGCACAGGTACAGGTTTCTTCCCTGGTTAAGGAACTAAGATTCCATATGTCATGAGGCACAGCCAATAAGTACATACATAAAGGACCACAGAAATGGTGTATCATTGATCCAAGATGTCATTTACCTAGTGTTTGAATGCAGACCAAAACCTAATTGGCATTATAAGCAACAAGAATCAAAGAGTAACCTTTAATCACTATCAATACCCAGAGAAATCGTCTTTAAAATAGAAATTTTCTTTAAAAATAAAAGAACGATGCTATAGGTAAAACTGAGTTCATTTGAAGTTGCAAACTCTTTGTCTTTGGGAGATGGGCCTCACCAACTTCATGAAAATTAACTTCCTTCACTGATGATGTCATAATTAAACCCCACCAGAAGAAATGTTCTTTCTTTTGTTAAATGAGGTAAGCATTATAAAGTCTTCCTTTTTGAAAAGCTAATTTTGCTTGTAAAATCAAAAGAGATTGCAATAAAGGAAATCTAAAACAACAAAAATCTTGTTCTTCCACACTTCTCTGGGCAAAGGGAGTCATAACAATATTTTTTTTAAGATGACTCATGTCACTGTGGGCTTCCCAGGTGGCACTAGTGGTAAAGAACCTACCTGCCCATGCAGGAGAAATAAGAGGTGAAGGTTTGATCCCTGGATCAGGAAGATCCCCTGGATGATAAAATTCTATAGGCAGAGGAACCTGGTGGGCTACAGTTCATGGGGTCGCAAAGAGTCAGACATGACTGAGTGACTAACACACACACACACAGGATCTACAGAAAGGAGCTTTGTAAAGGTAGACAAAATTGAGACAACTAAGTAACTCATTCCTTCCCTTCACTTAGTCAGTCTGCCATGTACTGAAGGTTCCCTAAGTGCCAGCCTCTATTCTTGGGTGGGAGAGAATGCCCATCAGAGCAAGAGAATCAACAGAGATAAGAGGCAGACTCAAGCAGACAAGAAAAAGCTGATGCCTTGACTTTCTTGGAATGGCAACAGTCACTGGCCATAAAACAGAGCAGCAAAGTAGTAAAGGTCAGATTTTTCCTTTGAAATT